AAATGACACTCTGGCAACACAGCACGCTAAAACGCTGAAAATCAGAGATTTTGTAAAGAATTATTTAGGGTATTTTTCTTCCCAATAAGCCTAAATTATGTCCCAAACGCGATTTTCAAAGCATTGGGCTATGCAATGCTGCAAATCATATCCTCATAACTTTCCATTTTTGAATTATTGCGTTTTGAATTCAGTGAAAATTTGTCTAGGTTACATGCATTTTAAATGGGATCAGCTGTTCACTTTACCAAAGTGGTAACCAGCGACCTAATGTGCGCACGAAAATCGAGTTTTCGACAGATTAATATCCTACCTTGTATTCATTGTATCATGATTTCAAATCACATGTTATTTGATATATCGATAACAGGTACCGACTGTTTCCTATCGATATCTGTTCCCAAATACCTGTGACAAGTATTTCGTGTCATCCCTACTGGCGTCTGTCATTGCATCATTGTTCAAATCTTATGTCAAATCAAATATGTCAGTCTTTTGTCTTTATCTATGGTTCAAATGCGTGGTTAGAGACAAGAGACATGCACTTGTCTCTGGCGTAGTTCTTGTTTGAATTTTCGGTTTTTCTTATAATTGGAAAACAATTATGCATTTTCCCGAATTTAGTCTTCTTGTTTTACTCAGGGAGCTTGCAAATCAAGTACTCCTCAAATAATAAGAATATTTTTACACACAAAACATTGTAGGTAAGTGATCTACTTAAAATCCAAATAGGTTAACTTAGGGCTCCTGTGGTTGGAAAGTGTAGTGTTTCACCAGCGAAAATTTGGAAAACGGACTATAAAGAATCCGCGCATGTGCTTTATTTAAGGTTACTTTAAGGGAAAATTAAAAAGAACGCCGACACTCACCAGAGATAAAGTGCACCTTCACCCGAAGGTTAACCAAAGTTTGAGGCACGGGTAAAAATGGGTTTTTACTTTTAAATCAAAATTATTTCTGTCAGGAAAACATGCCTGCAAATGTGCGTCCCAAAGGCTCGAATACGAACACGAGAGCGCCCCCCGTGACCCCGATGTCAGAGCGTCAACAGATGGCTTTGCTAATGCAGATGACCTCGTCTGGAGAAGGTTCTCGAAGTCCCAGTAACACAAGCTCGAAGACCAGAGACCGCAATGAAAGAGGTGAAACCCCCTTGCATTTAGCGGCTATTAAGGGCGATGTTGACCAAGTCTGTAGATTGTTAGCGCATCGCGCTGATCCTAATGTAGCCGATTTTGCTGGTAATTTAACAGTTTTATTGGATTTGTCCGCGACAGTAAGGTCTTCCAAGGAAGCCTTAAATCTTGGTTAAATCTGCTCAGCACGAGTACACTTATAGATTGCTTTACGTTTATAAAATATTTTCAATAACGCTACGTTCTTCTTGGTGAGAAAACCCCGATTTATGAGAACTGTTTTTAAATTACCCAAAATGTTTCACTCAGGAAGTTATTGAACTTTAATGATCTCTTAGGATGGACTCCTCTACATGAAGCATGCAACCATGGTTGGCATGAAGTAGCTGCGAGGCTGGTCCAAGCAGGTGCTAACATTAATGCGAAAGGTATAAACAGTAGACAGATTAAACTAAATTGACTGAACTATATGATATTACTGAACAATTTCTTATATTAAGATACGTATTTCAGGTTTGGATAACGATACTCCCCTTCACGATGCCGTCATCAATGGTCATCTGAAAATAATCAAACTTTTGATAGAAAAAGGCGCAGACATCCACGTTAAAAACTCAAAGGGAAAGTCTCCATTAGACTTGGCTTCACCTAGCATTCAGCCTTATTTGCTCAACACCGATATGCCTTTACCCGGTAAGTTCCAATAATAACATTACTGTGTTGTATCAGTTTATTTGTCATTTTATTTATCACCTTATTGGTTTTTCATTGTTTGGCATTTGTTGGTATTTCATCATTTTAAGTGCATTTTTTGTGTTTCTTTATTGGCTGCATATTCGGTTCGTAAGTTATTGTTCTTCTACCAAGGGTACGGTTGGGCACTAGACGCCCGATTTAATCCGGTCAGTCACGATTATTCCGGGTTTTCACTACGTCCGGGTGGTCCGGGCGAATTTTATACATTTTCTATGCATCCGGATTTTAAAATAGTTGCCTTTATAAACAATAATGGCAAATAGTTGTCTATAAATTCAGAATTGTACATTTCTTATAGACCTTTAGTCGAATAAAACGGGGCGGCTTACGCCGGCAGCCGTAAGCTTAAGCAGGGAGATTCCGAGGAACCAGCGATTTTTAATAATACCACAGAAAATAATTGCAAGGAATCAATCACATGGGTGTCCCGTGCTCACGTGACCAAAAGAGCACTGATACATGCTTTGGCTCAAGTGAAGACCATATGACCTAAATTTTATTTTAAGAAAATGTCCTTCTCTGCTATTGATGGTCAAAGTTTTTTAAAACAATTATGTTTTTTGAAATATCGAGAAAATAGCACTATGGATTTCATAGACTCTGGTTTTAATGCGGCAACCGAGTTCATCCGCTTGGGGCAAGTGAAGAACTCTTTAATGCCTTCATACTAAAACTGCGAGAACTTTTTATTTGGTAGCTGAAAGCATTTAATTTTATCTAAGTTGATGCACTAATCCGATTTGAACATGTTTTGCACTCTTTGTAAAATCTTGTAGCATTCATAGCTTTTGTACAAAAAAATCACATTTGAATAAATAACTTGAGTACCTAATATTATGGTTTCGTTAGCTGGTATTGTACCATTATCCTCCTATTAGTTGCCTTTTCACAGTACAGTGCGCCTGAACAATTTGCCTACGGATTTATACGGATGTTTCAGAAGCGATATACGGAAATTTGCTATGAAAAAGTTGGCATTTCTGGGTAGGGCCAGAGTTGTCTTTTCTTCCCCTTTTTTATTTGTTTTTTTAAACCCTTCATCCTGGGAGGGCGAGTCCGGAAACATATTTTGACGCAAATTTCCGAAGGATAGAACGCAGTTGAATGAAAACAACTATTTTAAAAGTGAAATTTTCTAATCTCTGCATCTTGTAGAGTCAAGGTTTCTCCTAAAGATAGTGAATATTCCAAATTGCTTGCTGGGTTAGTTTGCAAGATGCGACTTTTAATAAGAGAAGAAATTTGCCATTATGAGCGATATTTTGTAAGCTGGTCAAACTGCAGAGTCTGGGTGATTTTTATGAAACATTACTCTTGATTATCCAATAATGGTAAAACAACAGGAACCTTTCATAAAAATGTAAGATAGATACCAGCTTTAATCTCTGAAACTTTCTGTTCATAAATTATTCGAGTAGCTTATTCTTTCGATTTACAGGTTGTAAACTTGAATTTAAATTTTACTAATTATGTAAATTTTTTGATACAGAATTAAAGTAGGTTTGTTCCCATCAAAACTAGTATTCCTACTGTTTTTTTCCTGATATGAAATTGGAACGGTACACCCTGTATGTTCTAGGGCCTTCTCGTCACCCTCACCCCTTATCTATCTTGTCAGATAATAGTTTCAAAGCGAAATTAGAACTTTATCATTCGGGTCGATTCCTGCCTTACACAACGACGCAGGGGAGCGATAAACGCCTTGTATTGGACGTCCTGCGATTTGCTAACTTTGCGTTGAGTCCTGAGCCCTTGCACTGGTGTATGCCCCCGCAATTTTGTACGGATTAATGTACAATTCGTTTCTAAATATACGCTAGCTTTCGATGTTCTTAACGATTATGTCTCGGAATCAACTTTCGTTTCGGAAAATCCCCTTGAAAGTGGGATCCAGTTTTCCAAGCGAAAAATTCGAGAAACGACTGAGAATCGGAAAACTATGAGTTTGCATTGGATGATAAGCTATATTCGAGAAGCGTTTTGTTAAGGACATACAGGGTGTTTAAGTTTGACTAAAAAATCAAATTTATTAATTGTTGGCGTGTAACGGCTGTGGATATTTTCACAAAATTTTGCGGCAATAGGACGAGATGCCACCGCTGGAGCACATTTTGAAGTAAAACTATCTTTTTTGTTTTGTCAGTAGCGTCTGTACTAACAAGTTAATGGATGTGTTTAAAGAAAAAAATTATGCCCACTGTTTTTACGTAAAATAAAAATCAGACTTGGATTTTCATTCAGATGTAAATAAAAATATAGCTGATAATTATTTAATGAAACTGTATAATTCGCAAATTCAATCCGTAGTCTATTACAACAGCAAAAATTAAAGAGATGAATTAACAAATCGTGGAAGTAATAGTAAAGTGTATAATTTCTTGTTTAAAAAGATTGTGGCCATCTCTTTCGACAGTTACGTTATCATCAGGGCCGTCGTCACAGCGCACAAGCAATAGCCTTAATAAAAAAAATTGTGCGAATTGTAGTCCACCCACTTAATTACATTTTCGACATCTTCGAACGTCTAACTGATGAACTTATTACAGCTGATTGAGATTTTGCCATTTGAGATTAAATTATCTCTGGTTAAAACTGGAGTAGAATAAACTTTGTTTTTTACCCATGTCCCCAAACGCAAAAGTCTGGATGGCCGGGCCACTGGTCCAATTTTATTCACCACATTATCATTTATTTAATTCCTAATTATTATTTAGCCACTTGCAGGTGCAATTGCGTTGGCGGAGTGTAACTGTTGCCATTTTCATAGAATTGGTTTAGGTACAAAAACGAACATATTTCAAAATGATTTTACTGCATTTCGAGTAAGTTCTATAGTGTTCGTTGATGAGGAACATTGATTGAACTATTTTTTTTTCTATTGATTGATTTCATGGTGTTTTATTAATTGATTTATTTTTTACTTGAAAATGCTGAGCTTTGCAGTTAAATTGAAATAAGCCTTTTTTCCTTTACATCTAAATGAATCTAAACCTTATTTTTATTTAATGAAAAAACAAATGGCGCATTTTTTTAAATCATCCATTAACTTGTCAGTACGGACGCCACTGACACAACCAAAAATTTTGTTCTTATTGCAAAATGTGCTCGTTCGTTGGCAGTTATTGTTTGCAAATAGTCGTTTCAATATCCATAGACGGTGGGAAACAATTAACAAATTTGATTTTTTAAAGCCAAACTTAAACACCCTGTAGTTCCTTAATAAACCGTTTCTCGAATATCCTCCTGGGATCCGAATGAAAATGGTATTGTAGAATTTGACAAAAAATCATCCAAGGATTTTTTGGGTATTAAAAACTACCCACATTTTTTGAAAATTTTTCTATCCCAACTAATTTTTGAACAAAAAATTGTCCATCTGAATAGACACTGGATCTCAATTACTTACATCCCACACACACATTTCAATGTTTATAAAATTAAAGTGCAACATGGTAATTATAAAAACAATTTCAATTTTCGACGTGCTAACCCATCTTGAATTATTTAGTGTTGATTTTGGCGAAAAAGCTTATCCTTGTGGGTGATTTCTAGTGATTAGCTTTAAGATCAAGTTTGAGTTTTCAGCATTAATAGTGTTATCTTTAACAGTCAGTAATGTGTTTGCGAGTTGAAGTTTGAAGTCAAGGAATTTCAAAATCGTCTTGGTTGTGTCCCCATTCTTTTGCGATCCTCACTGTACAAAACCCAATAGTTAGCTATTGATAGATCGATAAGGTGTAATATCGTTTTCACTATCCATTATTTAATTCCTGCAGACTATCAGCCCTGTGCTGTATCATAAATGCTATTTTTAACGGCCACACGTTATGGCAACTTAACAGTTCAGGATAACATTTTCGATAACGCAGCAAC